TTTTATATATTAACATAATTTAATTAATATTCAACTGCTTTGAATTTAATTCACAATTTCTTCGTATTAAATTAATTTTTATTATTTTAAATATTTAATTATTATTATTATATATAATTTAATATGAAGTGTATTTTAAAATACATTATAATATTTATAAAAGTAATAATATAATATCTAAAAGTATATTATGCTTAAAATAATATATCTAAATGAGACACATACCAATTCCAACATTCTTTTGTCTTACTTTGTAGTTTGCGAGCATAAGATTTATCTAGAAAATTCTGAAACCATCTATATAATTTAAAACGAATTTGCATAAATCAAAGAATCTAGTTCAAGCGTCTAAAAAAGTTTAATTCTAACATGTTAAATTTGTTAGGACAAAAAACTATGCATCTAAGCTTTTCTTTTTTATTTTAATGGCTAAAGCCACTAATATATCACTTACACAACAAGAAACTTCCTAACTGAAAATCAATTATAACTAACTTAACTGATTTTAAATTCTTTTAACAATCTTACAAGCTTTTTACAATTAACAAACCATCTCTTAAAACAAGTTGTCAAAGCAATTGGTTTACAACAAAAGGAAAAACAAATCAAACATAAAAAAATAAATTTAAAAAAAATAAAAACTAGAACTAGATATCTTGGAAATCCTACAAATTCCAAGTACTTTCTTCATCTTCTCAAACAATTCATGTTTTAGAGGCTTTCTCTACTAGTTAGTCTTGTGAGACACAATATATCAACTCAACTTCCTCTTCATTATTTAGGTTCCCCCCCAAAAAAATAAAACCTTATATCTATATGATTGCTTTTTCCATGCATGATTGAAATTTTTATTAATTTGATAATGAAGCTATTGTCATTGAAAATAGTTAAGTACATCTTTAGGTTCAAACTATATAGAACTCTCTACAATAATATGATTTGATACAAACAATGAGTTGCAACTATAAATTTAACTCAAGTTGTGGACATGGTCACAATAAGTTGTTGTCTTGTTGACAAAGATATTGCACCATACTCTAGCATGGACACATAATCTAGAGTAATTTTCTTGTCATCTAAATCTCCTTCATAAATACTGCTTGAGTAGGCCACAAATTCAGAATATTCACCTTTCTTGTATTGAATTTCCAACTTAATTGTTCCTTTCAGATACATTGTGATTCTTTTGGAAACCATTAAGTGAGGTTCAATTGAGTGCTCCACGAATCTGCTTATCACACTCACTAAAACATCAAATCAAGCCTAGTGCTAGTTAGATACATTAGGCTTCCTAACATTTGCTTGAACTAAGTTGTTTGATAGTTTGATTCCTTGTAAAATAGGAGTGCAAATAACATTGCTTTGATTCATACAAAACTTTTTAAGTATTTTCTTAGCATATCTTTGATGGCACATGAATATGCCATCATTGTTCTACACAATTTCAACTCCAATAAATTGTCCCATTTTTCCCAAATCAGTCACGTAAAAGGTGCTAAACATGGATTTCTTAAAACCTTCGAACATGTTACTATAATTTTTTATGAAGATTAGATCATCTACACATAGATTGATGATCAACTGATTTCCATTGTTGTCTTCTTTCACAAACAATGTGTGCTCATGAGGACACTTTAAAAACCCTTCATTTTCGAACTATTTATCTATTTTTCTATACCAATCCATTGGAGCATGCTTTAGTCCACATATGACCTTGTGCATCATATAAACTTTTCTTTCTTCTGCCTTATTTATATAACATAAAAGTTGCTCAACATACATTGTTTCATTTAATTCTCCATGAAGGAAAACACTTTTCACATCTAGTTGGTATACACTTCATTCTCTGATAGTTTCCAATGGAAAAATACTTCTTATGGTGTCCCACCTAGCCATAGGTGCAAACACTTCTTTGTAATCAACTTCGTATATCTGAATGTAACCCTTAATCACTAGTCTTGCTTTGTGTTTCTCTATTTCTCCTCTTTCACTCACTTTTGTTTTGTATATTCACTTCACTTTGATTACTTTTGCCTCTTTTAGAAGTACTGTCAACTTCCAAGTAACATCTTCATAATTCATATGATCTTAATTGACATAGGGATCAAATATGGTTAGGTTCATCATATCTTCATCAGGGTTGATGTCCTCAGTATAAGTGTCGTAGTTGTCAAGCTAGGATGAAGTTTCCTAACTCTCCATTGTTTTAAGTTTGAGTTAGAAGTACCCATTATTTCTTCAACAACTGAAGTGCCACTAGTCACTAACTCCTCAGTTCTATTTTTATCATTAACTTGGGGAATTCTTTTTCATTTGTGTCCCTTATTTCTACTGCATCTTCATCACTACTAACTACACACTTTTAACTTCCTTTTCTTCATTCCAAATCCATATCTTATTTTTAGCAAATACCGTGTCTTTTATTGTAATTATCTTTATAGATATAGGGTTATAGTGCTTATATGCCTTAGATGTATCACTGACCCCTAAGAATATACATTTCATGCTCTTTTCATCGAGTTTCCTTCTTTGGACATTAGTATGTGTGCATAGGAAATGCATTAAAAGATTCTAAAGTGTTGAACGAGTGGTTTTGATTTGCTCCAAGCTTCTTCAAGAGTGAACTAAGGCATGCCAACAATAGGAATTCGATTTGTAACATAATTTTCCTAATTCAGAGGTTCAAGCCAAAATAACTTAGATATTTCTCTCCTTTCTAACATGCTTCTGACCTTGTTCTTTAGAGCTCTATTCTTCCTTTCAGCCACTCCATTTTGCTGAGGAGTGTATGGTGCAGTGAATTACCTTTTTATTCTTCACAAAAATTCTAGAATTCATGAGATTTAAATTCCCCTCCTTTGTCAGTCTTCATGCAACCAGTTAAGGTACTAGTTTCTTTTTCAATCATTACTTTGAATTTCTTAAAGTAGTCTAATGCATTAGACTCTTCATTTAAGAACACATCCAAAATTTTCTACTGAAATTATCTATGAAGATAAGTATATACCTCTTGTTGTAGTTAGATGAAGGAGTTGTATGGCTATATATGTCAGAGTGTACAAGCTTTAATCTTCTTACTGATCTTCAATTACTTTTTTTAAAATTGTTTATACAACAAATAAACTTAAAGATGCAATTATTTTTTCCTTAAAGGTTTAAAATATCACTTATATAAAAATATAAGTGTATTTTCTTAAAGGGGATTTATTGAACTTCCTCAAATCTAGGTCTAGGTCGTCTCATCTTAAATGCGAGATTCAAATTAGAGTAATGTTTTTGTGATCTCATAGGATTTTTTTTATGTTTTTATGATGTTATGATATGTTTGTGAATTTTTTTTTTGAAAATAATCATGCTTTTTTTATAAAAAAAATATAAAAAAAAATCATATTTTTTAGATTAAATATTAAAGTAATTATGTTTCAAATAAAAAATTCGCCCACAAGAGAAGTAGTTAGAGGATATGACACATGCACTAATTTTTTGAACATAAGCGTCATACGGTATAATGCATGCTTATATGTCATGTCCTGCATGTGACGCATGTATGCATCCTCTAAGAGCATGTCCCACAGACAATGGCTAATGCATTGCTCCTAGAGGATGCATGCATGCGCCACAGGCCGTGACGTGACAGTAATGCATGCGCCATGTCCTATGGCGCCTCAGTTAAAAATTTCAATGCATGCACCATATCTTATGGTTGCTCTTCTTGTGGACGATTTTTTTTTGGAAACATGGTAACTTTGGTATTTTTTTTTTCCTAAAAAAAGGTTATTTTATAATTTTAATTGAAAAACATGATTATTTAAAAATATATATATGTTTTTTAGTTATAGTTATTTTTTAAAAATATTTTTTATTATTCTTCAAATTTTTATTAAATTTTTTTAATAAATTTTAAATAAATTTTTAATTTAAATAGCTTCTATTAGAATTTGAGTTAATTTTAAATATTTTTAAAATTAAATGGTTTTATCATATTAATAATTTAATAATAAATATTTAAACTATTACTATATTAATTTTTAAAAAATAAATTTAAAATTATTTCTACTATTTTTGAGAAAGTTCTCATAAAAATCATTTTAAAAATTAAAAAACACTACAATTTTTTAGTACTAGTATATATCAATCGGATATTCATGTTTAATTAATGAAATTAGTATTTTACTTTTTAAAAAAATACAAAACACTCTAAAAAAAACCATTTACTAGTACCCACTTTTTCTTGTTGGTTCCATCTTTATCATTAATTACAGTTTCCTTGTTTCTCACTCTACCTTCTCAAACACTTCAATGCAATACCAATACTTTTACCCAATACACAAACACAAATACAATAAACATTACAATGAATGGAGTAGCTACAACAATACTCCAAAACCCAAAATTATAATAATAAAAAGAAAGAAAAAAATCAAGTTTTTAAAATCCCTTTATATTTTCAGACACTAATCAAAGGTTTCAAACATAAAAAACAAACAACATATTCAAGTGCTTTTCCTCTTACATTCATTCCTTCCACATAATCTCTCTCTCTCTCTCTCTCTCTCTCTGCATAATCAATTGCACCCATCATCTTCCTTTACCCACGCCTGCTCAATTTGTGGCGCATGCTATGCCTCATTTTGCCTATGTTTGAATTTTCTGTAACACTCTCTGACTTCTCCACTATCTATCTTTTTATAATTCAAGTGCAATATTCTCTCTTATAAGTACTGTTCTTTAGTACTAAAGCTTCAAACTTTGACATGTTTTTCTCCTTTTCTTCTTCTCTATCTTAATGGGTCTATTCCAATTTCTCTCAAAATTCATTCTTTAAGTTCAGTTGAGAATTAAAGCTTCAAACTTTGATAACCTTGTGTTTTTCTTCATATTTATTTTAATGGGTCTCTTCCAATTTCTTTGCTTTATATGAATTTCTCACCAAAGGTGACACCTTTGGGGTTATATAAATCTCAAAGTGATTGAATTTCAGCAGAAAATTTGTAGCAGATATGGTTGCAGAACCTTGGATTGTAAAGATGGGTAACCAAGTAAGTTCAAATCTCAAGCATGCTCTTCTTCTTGAAACTTTAACAAAGAAAAAACATAGTCAAAAAAGGTTAGAAAACAAAGAAACCATAGGGATTCTTTCTTTTGAAGTAGCAAATGTGATGTCAAAAACCGTGCACCTTCACAAGTCACTTTCAGAGTCTGAGATCTCAAAGCTTAAAAATGAGATCTTGAACACTGAGGGTGTTAGGAATTTGGTTTCATCTGATGAGGGTTATCTTCTTGAGCTTGCTTTAGCAGAGAAGCTTGAAGAGTTGAACCGTGTTGCTAGTGTTGTTTCCAGGTTAGGGAAGAAGTGTTGTGAGCCAGCTTTACAAGGGTTTGAGCATGTTTATGGTGACATTGTTAGTGGTGTTATAGATGTGAAGGAATTGGGGTTTTTAGTTAAGCATATGGAGGGAATGGTGAGGAAAATGGATAGGTATGTTAATGTTACTATGAATTTGTATAGTGAAATGGAGGTTTTGAGTGAGTTGGAACAAGGTGTTAAGAAGTTTCAGAATAATCAGCATGTGGAGAGTAAGAAAGCTTTTGAGCAGAAACTTATATGGCAGAAGCAAGATGTGAGACATCTTAAGGATGTTTCTCTTTGGAATCAAACGTTTGATAAGGTTGTTGAGTTGTTGGCTCGGACGGTTTGTACTATTTACGCTAGAATTTCTTTGATCTTCGGCGAAACTGCTTTGAGGAAGAATAGTTTTGGATCACCGGTTATGCAGAATGAATGTGGGTTTGTTTCGGGTAATCTGAACGTTCAGATGAATTCCGGGAGGTTGAAACGCAACACGAGCAAGAGAAACGGTTCGACTGCAAATGTGTCTGCGGTTGAGAGAAGGGGAACTTCTACTAGTAAGCCGCGGTGTGAAATGAGGAGAGGTGAATTTGCGTCTCTTGGGCCTGAAGATTTTGGTTTTCCGTGTGGAACAAGTCCGGGGAAACTTTTTATGGAGTGTCTAAGTTTGAGTAGCTCGGTTGGAAAATTCGATGATGTCGATGATAGTTATGAGGATCAATACAGTCATGTATCGAGTAGTCACAGCGGTGTAATTGCGAATCATAGCATGAAAAAGGAGCATTTGTTCCATTCCGGTGCTCTAAGTCATGTTCAAAGCAGCGTTTCGTTCACCGGAGAATTACGACAAGCTAAATCCGGTGTACAAAGTTGCTCGACATTTAGTCCGAAAAGTAGGTTAGCCTTTTACGCTCCTCCTACGACACTCGGAGGCTCGGCTCTTGCATTACACTATGCCAATGTCATAATTGTACTCGAGAAGCTTCTTCGCTACCCGCATTTAGTCGGCGAGGAAGCCAGAGATGATTTATACCAGATGCTACCCACAAGCGTAAGGCTATCTCTTAAGACGAAACTGAAGTCATACGCCAAGGATATGGCGATATACGACGCGCCTCTTGCGCATGACTGGAAGGAGAATCTCGACGGGATACTTCGGTGGCTTGCACCTCTCGCGCATAACATGATGAGATGGCAGAGCGAGCGAAACTTTGAGCAGCATCAGATTGTTAGCCGGACAAACGTTCTGTTACTTCAAACATTATATTTCGCCGACCGTGAAAAGACCGAGGAATCGATCTGCGACCTTCTTGTCGGGTTGAACTATATATGCCGATACGAACAACAGCAAAATGCATTGTTGGATTGTGCAAGCAGTTTTGATTTTGAAGATTGTATGGAGTGGCAATTGCAATGTGGAGCTTCTTTTCTCAACTGAGTTTATAAGACTCAAAATTTTGAAAATCCACAATTTGGTGAGCATTTTATTCATTTTGAAATATTTCATCATCTACTTACTTGAAAAGTATGATTGTATTTAATTAAAATTATAAATTTACTTTGTGCAATACATAAGCATTGTTCATGTTGAACTTGTAAATAAGTTTATATAGAGATTGCATGTTGTTTAGAATTATTGTCATGAATAGAAAAGAATCTAGCATTGGTATTTTAGGTTAATCCTCAACTTGGTGTTGATTTATTGGATTCATAGCATCTTTTGTTAAGTTTATTAAGAATATTTGAACTCTTGAAGTTGATGCTTTGTTTCCATTATGATGATGAACAAGTGTGTCCTCTAATGATGTACTAGTACTAGCCAAAATGAGATTACCATTTTGATGAAATGAGGGACCTATGGTGTAAATGTTGTGTTTAATCTTCTATAGTAAAATGGGAAAATAAAATATTGTACTATATTCACTTCAAATAGAACACCATAACTACCATATATGATATTCATTTAAAACACCATAACTACCTTAAAAAATAAAATAAAATAATAAATATAGAATAAAAACAAAAAAAAATCTTAAAAAAAATAACAAATTTCATTTATTGTTTAAGGTAAAAATGAAAAGATAAAAAGTCAAATGTTTTTCTTGATTTAGTTATTTCCAATAGTAAGAAGTGAACAAAAAATGAAGAAGGTGAGGGGTTTTAAGATAGCAAACTACCTTGTCAGATTAATTAATAATATATACTAAATTCAGTTAGGAAAGTAGGCACCATGATGTGGCAAAACAAAGAGGTTGAAGAGGGCATTCATTTTTGCAATAAAGGGCTTCTAAATATTTTGTGTGTTAGTTGGGTGCTATTAATATTTTGTGGGGGTGTTTGTTTGTGGGTAGGTTTTTTCTTTTTCCACTATCTTTATGAGTTATTACTTGCTTTTTATTGTGTGGCTTACAAATTAAGGTCCACACTATTTGAGTCTTTTGATATTTTTTTGACAAAATAGAATAATAGCTTGTAAAATATAAAGTATTTGATGAACCGACATGAGATAAATTAAGGTTATGTTGTCTTTTTGAAAATAATTTAAGTTTTTATGTTATAAAATTTGTATTCATTATGTATTGTTAATAAGAGTAAAAAATCATTCTATGAAATTGTGAATGGTTTACACTAATTGTGTTGGATTGAGTTTGATTTAATTTATTATTCAACTCGTTTATACTTTAATGAATTGAATTAATTGTTCAATCTTTAATTTTATTGATAAAATTGAAGCAAATTGATCATTTATGAAAATTGAATTTGTGGGTTATATTTCAAATAAAAAATAAGGGTAATGTTAACTTTGTGCCCTTGGGGCACATGTTAAGAAAACCACTTATAGTAAATTTGCATTGGAAAAAATGATTTAAAAATTAATTTTATATTTTAATTAAAATTTATACACAATTTTCAAAACAATGTTTCTTAATTTAGTTCTTAACATGTGCCCCAAGGGCACAAGTTAATATGACCCAAAAAATAATTTTGTATTATTCTTTTTTATAAAAAATTATAACACAATGATATTACGGACATTTCTAATATTTGAAATATATTATATAATATTGTATCTAATAAAACTCATACACAATACCAATTATATAACAATTAGTAATAGTAAAGAATTTCTTTCATAAAATTAAAAAAAATAAAAATAATAATAACACTTAAATTCTAAAATTATACAAATTCATTAGTTTAATAGTAATAGTGGCAGGGAATAAATTCTTTTTCCACAGAAGTATAGTTTTATAATTTGTAGACATATATTAATTTTAGATATTTATTTAAAATAATAAAATAATAAAAAAACCAATAATATTACATAGTCAACAAATCTACGAATTGAAAAACTTAAACTTCAAAATTATACATATTCATAAATAAACGAGTTTAGATAATTTATGAATTTATACAGTTGGGTTGACGAATCCGCGTCTATGGAAACCTTTAATTGTGATAATCAAAGTAAAGTTAGAAAATAACTATAATCAGTTATCAAATCCTTTAACTTAATTTAATGTTTCGTTTTAACCTCTTAACTACTTCACTTCAGTTATCCTATTTTGTCGATTCTGTCAATTTTTTACAAAAAACAACGTTAAGTTCTGGTGATGTGGCGTGACAGAAAGACTATTGGTACAAATCTGAGTCAACATATATAGATAAAAACGGATGCATTGTTTAAACTGCAGAGATTTTGTTTTCGGGAACTCCACAATTTAAATAGTATATTAGTTTTTAACTACATATGTTGATTCAGATTTGTACCAATGACATTGTTGTCACGCCATAAATTAGTTATGCATGAATCAAGTTGTGTCTTCTAAAGTCATCCTAAATTCATGTGTAAAAACTTTCAATTTTGGACGTCATGTGTCGACACATGTTTAGTATAGGTCGGTACATAAAAACAATTTTCTGAATTTTTCAAAATTGGTTCAGTATGTGTCGACTCATGTTTGTATAGGTTGACACATAAAATCAAAATTTGAAAATTTTTAAACTTGTTTCAGTATGTGTCGACTCATGACCTTTTCAGGTTGGCACATGCTTCCAAGAGGTCGACTCATAAGTCATTTGCGGACAATTCTACTTCATTTCTCATTCACTCTCATACGTGCACTCAAATCTCCTAATCTCTACATTTCATCTTGAGTCTTCTAATCAATTAATTGGCATTAAGTCTTGTTAGATTCATTCCTCACATATCATCCGCATTCAATTTTTCAACAAATCATTAGCATTCTCATCAATTTTCTTCATTTCATCTTTAGAAACCCCCGATTCACCCAAATTCTCCAAATCTTCAAATTTGCTCTCATTTTTGGTTTTTTTCCACATCGTTGTGTATTTTTAAGGTTATTTGTTTGATTTGAGTTTGTGGGTAATCATTTATTTCTCAAACCCCTTCACTTCTCGTTCACGCATTTCATCGAGCAGTTGGTGTGCAACCTTTGTTTGAACATTTCTCCATGGCGCCTAAGCTTTCAAAAACCAAGAGTGATTCTAAAGGTAAAGGTAAGGCAAGCACATCTTCTTCAGTTCTAGAAACTCCATTTTCACTGGTTTCAACTAGGTATGTTGAAGAATTTGAGCAAAAACATCAACACCGACTTGTTGTGAAGCAATACGCTTAGAAGCCTATTGTGGTTGGTTGTTTGGATATTCTAAAAGTGGTTAGTCTTGTTGCACATAAACAAATTAATTACTTTCTGAAACTTACACATGACTATATTAAAGACCTCATTTGTGTATTCTACTATGGGTTACATGATAGGAGAGGTTCATCTTTCAAGTTCACCATAGATAACATTATTTGTTAATTCACTGATGATCTTTGGAAGTCTTTATTTGGTATTACTACGGTTGATGATGACGATGATGATGAGCCTGGCCCGTTGGTGACAGATACCAATCTTCATCAAAATTTTAAGTGGAACGTACATTTGAACCAGTTACTTAGGGCCCCTCTTCTGGATGATTGTTATGATCCTACTACAAATTGTCAAATGAAGATGGTTCCTAGGGTTTTGTTGAGGCTGGTTTCTCATGTTTTGTGCCCAAAGAATGATGGGTTCTCAAGAATAGATGTTGTTGAAATTAATCTAGTCTATGTTCTTTTGAACAAGATTAAGACTAATTTGGCACATTACTTTGTGTCCCGCATGTTCTCCATTAAATAGTGCAACAAAGGGACTTCATTCTGTTAAGTCTCCATGATTGCCAAGATTTTTAACTACTTCAACATTGGTATGCCTAATCTTACTTATAGATCTCTAGACCAGGCTCAAGAGTTCTCTCAACATACCCTAACCAACATGGGATACTTTTGGAATGTAAGCCGTCGGGCGTACTACTTATGTATGGTAAGAACGGTAGCAAGATTTATAACTTCGATGATCCTACAGAGTTTGATAATGTTGCTGCTAAGACACATATGGTTGATAATCAACCAATTGGTACTTCTCATGATGTTCCTGAGGGTGATGCTTTTATGCAAGATACTACTCATGAGGATGCTCATGGTATTACTTTTGGTGTTGGATTTGGTGATTCGTCCTCCATTAAGACTATGCTTCAGAACATGCAGCTGAGGCATGATGAGAGTTATGAGGAAGATTGCAAGAGACGAGATGCCTTTGAGGATTCTCGAGTGGAGATATTTTGTCTAATGCAAGCACATGACTGCATAATATGCTAATTTGATGCATTTGCTTCTTATGTAACAGAAAGTCTTGTGTCTATATGCAATGAGATGGATGCCAATCATGTAGCTACGATTGCTAGGACTAATCATATGGTCTCTGCTCAGAATGAGAATCATCATCATTATGCTCAATTTTACCGAGAAATGTGTAACTTCTTGGATTATCATTTTGGTAATGATAGGCAAGGTTGGCATCAGGGTGTGATGCAAATTCCTAGGGGCAGAGGAGTATGTTGAAGTGTGTTATTGTTATGTCTTTAAGTCTTTGTGTGGTTTGTGTCAAACATTATGTTGAACTTTTCTGTCATGCATTTCATACTTTGAGCCATCATTGATTTTCTGGTTTGCTTTTGGCTTGTGTTGCTTTTAGTTATGTCTTGGCAATGTTACTATTTCCTTAAGTATGAGACAATAATTTTACTATGTGTATTGCCTTGGATGACAATTATGTAATATTGTTATATTTCCATTTTATTTATGTTGTGTTGATTTTTATTATGTATCTTCATGTATGTATCGTATATGTGAGTGCACATTCTTATCTTTGAAAATGCCTCGATATGGTATATTTTATTTTTGTTATGTTGTATCTATGTGATACTGATAATGTGCTTGCTTTGTCTCTTTTTGATCTTGTCAAAGGGGGAAAAGCATATGGAGTTATGAAGCTATGATGCATACATTCAAGGAGAACCTTCAGTAAGACACGAAACACATCGTCTCAAGTT